CTATCTATAAAGTAAGGAAATTTATTGTCAGCGAAATGATACGGATCTATTTTTTTATTATCTTTAATTAAGAGTTTGGAGAATAGATATTTTTTTCATTATGAAAAATATATATGTAAAATATCTAACACATGTGATTTTTATTTAGCGTTAAAAATTTGCATTATAACAGAGCAAGCACTGATTAAAACCGTCATGCAATCATATAGAAATGTGTAATAATGATTTTTAATTAATCGACGTATTTAATGAAAATTAAGAAATTTTATTATATAAGATTTCAGGTTTTTGGCGTAATTACAGTTATTCAAATTTAATTTTTAATTTCATGCTTACATTAAGATCACACATCTCATAACGATAAGACATACTCGTTAGTGGTTGACCATTTTTATTGACTTGCCTTAAAAAATTTCAAGTCGATTTTAATCAAATATTTGGAAAGGTGAATTACTAACTTCCGTATGAGGTTACAAATTTTCGAAGAATCTTCGTCACTGAATATAGTTATTGAATTAAAATATATAGCCAGCGCGATTTTGAGTTTAAAAAAAAAAGGAAAGGTTGAACAAAACTATTTCATTGAACGTTAATATTGTTATGGATCATTGTTGTACTTCGTCATGCTTACGTATCGTTTTCTTTTCGATCGCGTATCATGAAATTTGTTCTGACAGAACAAATTTTATGATATTTATCATCGGATGATCCAATATCGATGTTATCGTGCATGCTTTAAAGTCATTATTGGTTAACTGAGTTTTAATTCGAGATTGCTGTGCTCAGTGTCTGAAATTCAATTTTTAATTTAGTTGCGGGCCCGCAACTAAATAAAAAATCTACTAGCGGATTATATGAGTTTAGTTGCGCATATGAACATATCTATGCAAATTCAGACATTTCTATATGCAAATTTACAAAATCTATTTGCGGAACTGCATATGCATTTCAGATTTTAGTTGCAGAAACTTATAAATCATTTGCGGTCTGCAAGCTCCGCAACCCAACCCTAATCTCTAGCTAGAGATGCCTAGAATTTCCCTTTAATATAAGTGTATTTTGAACGAAAAAATTAATAGTTCCAATATAAAATTATTGGATTTTTTTTCTTTTTTACTTTTAAAACTAAGTAAATAATAAAACACAAAGCTTTGAAACTTCACATGAGAAAGTTATATAATAAATGTACGTAAATTTCAGTTTTACAAAGCTTATAAAATAGTGTGAAGTTACATTAATTTTACGTGTAGCCAATCAGACTTCTTACTAATCAATAAGACAAACTTCAACCCTGATATCGCTAAATTATCTAGTTCTGACGAAAAAAATTGTCTCCATGTAAAATGAGATTCTATCATGTTCTGATTAGATACTGATTAGATGACATCGATGATCTTTAATAACAACCTTATTTTTTTTTCAAACTTTGATAACTATTGTTAAGGGTTTCTGTCAGAGACTGGACTCGTATCACTCATGACTTACGAATTAAGCTCAGAAAAGTATCGAATCATGTGATTGATATCAATTTATTCGAATTATTCAAATCATGAAAATTTAACTTACATTCTATAAAAGCAGATTTGGGTACCAGGCTAACAACTGCGGACTCGCGAATACTCCCGAATTTCACAAATTATGGTTCGAATCATGATGAACTATTCGAGCCACGAGTTGACGTTTCCAGTCACTAGTTCTGCTGACATTCATATATTGGTTAATTTTTGTAGATCTACCCGTGATAATTAGCCAACCAAAATGGGAAAGATTTATTTTAGAAAACGAAAAGGACTTCACGTAAAGAAACCTACAAACTAATAAATGCACGCAAAAAAAGAATTTTGTTTTAAAAATAGATCGATAACGCGTAAAATTGATATTTATTACTAATAAATCCAAGTTCAAATCAATTAAAGTTCAATATGCAAATAAATTATTAACGAAGCTATCTTTTATTCTTTATTTATGAAAGTAATTAATCTTATTTTTGAGGTTACCAAGCAACTGATTTACATTAGCCAACCAGACAAATGTCGTCCTATAGTCCTGCATTACTGTAATTTTATTGGTAGATGTAAGTGGGAGTTAGTTGAGCAAAGACATAAAATAGTTGGCTTACTTTAAAACATTTAAAATGTAGTTCAATAGCTGGTAGTTCTTTATCACATCGTTATCATTATCGTTATGTTTATTTGTAAAGATGGTAATGGCGCGCCACGCGTAATTGCGTAACAGAACGGCAGTACCCGCACGGGTTAGACGACCCGGGTAAGACTATATCTATATATAGTAAATTATGTACTGTAATTTAGTGTTTTAAAGTTTGACCCGGGTTAGAGCCGTGACCCGTACGGGTCAACCGACCCGGGTAATAGCTCTAGGCCAGAAAAATACGCGACTTCACGCGATTTGCTGATTCAGGGGCAGAAAAATATGTGAAATACGCGAAATACGATAAAAAAAGTATATAAAAATCATTTTTTTAAAATTACAGTCCTGAATTAAAATTTATTAAATCGTTTCTATCATTTCAAAATACTATCTACTACTGTACTATTGAAGTACGTTCATAATCCCTTTTTAGAAATTTTAAATCCTACTGAAGTACCTTTTTTTTGCAAGCTTCGGGTCTGCTGGTCCTGCATGAGGGATTAGTTATGTAACTTCCTAGAACTGCTTAAAAAAGGTATTACTGTCAATTAAAAACCACCTTTTTTAACCCTAAATAAAACAAATACGCCGTGTTTCTTCGTGTTGTTTTCCGAAAAATGAATCCATATGGGTATGAGTCTCCCGGGTTCATTTAAAAATTTAATTTCTTCGAATTTATTCGGAAAAGAGCTTAAGAAACAATATTTTATAATCGTTTCTTTTTAGAAAAAATTTTTATACATTTCTTAAAAGCTTCCTTGGACTCCCGACCTAAGGTCTCTTAAATACCAAAAGAAGGTATTGGTAGGACCCTTCCTTAGGTAGGCAAGGAAGCTGGGCGCTATTGAGGTTTATGGCGGCTTCTTTGTAACGTTAGCCCTTTTACTTAACATAAAATATGCCGAACTCTAGGCCTTTGAGAACTTCTTTGGGCGAGAAGGCTCCACAAGAGCCATGAACGATTATCCATGTTATTGGACAATGTTGTTCATGTAGTCCATCGCGTGATCATCCCCAGTGGTAACGTTCACCCACAGAAATGGGGATACAACTTCGGGTTGTTACAAACCTAGTTATAAGGATACACCGTTACGTGGTGACTAGGATAAGTAAGCTAATATTTTTTAGCTGAAACTAAGTATCCTATTAAATATTTATTTTATTTTATTTTTTTTTATTTTTATAAAAATTGGTTTTTTAAATTCGCGTAGTATAATTGTTTTAGTATTAACTTATTAAAAATAAAATATGTAATTCGAAATAAAAAAATTAATTTATTAAAAATTTAATATAAAATCAAATAAATTAATAATAAATAAAATATGTAATTCGAAATAAAAAAATTAATTTATTAAAAATTTAATATAATTTCAAATAAATTAATAATAAAATTTGCTATTGATACAAATAAATAAATGAAGTTTCAAGTTTTTTATTAAAAATTTTAAAGTGCATACTAGTGTAATTTGTGAATTTTTTAAAAAAGCCGACTTAGTCACTTAATTGACTAAGTAAAAAACATTGATCTAAATCGTTCAAGAAACAACAATTTTGATTCTAAAATTCAAAATCCATTGAAGCGACTTGAATCCACAGAAATCTATTCGATACCACTCTAGAATAGAGCACAAGTTAATATACCCAGGTATAAATTAGGGAGATCAACGATGCCCAATAAAAGTAAACTTCTAAATAAACACAACTCAAAGTATTATCTCGAGTTTCTACTTTCAATAAATAAAAATACGTATAATTTATCACAATGTAATGTATTAATCGATAAATTAGAAATAAACAGCTTATCTTAATTTATAAAAATGCTCTCAAATATCTCCTCAATGTGATTTGCTAGTATTAATCGAAGCATCAGTACGAAAATTTTGCTGAAGATTCATAGTGAATTGCGGGATGTAAACTTTAGCCAATAAGCGTAACTCTATGGTAAAGAAAGTTCCGATCTATTAATTTAAATGCTTGAGAGTAGAAATTAGTTTCACCAATTTCACCAATTCAACACCAGTTTCACCAATAATGGTGAAATTATTTCACCAGCATCTTTACTTTCTTTACTTAAAACTCTACAAAGTCATTGACAAGGCCGCAAGAGTTGTAGGAAAATAATCATCTGGACAAGTTTGCTAAAAAAAATCGAGCTTTGTGTTAGATTGGATAATAATAATATTTTATAAAGGTTTAAATTCGATACGGAACTCTAATACGTACAAACCGCTTTCAAATTTGTGATACTATCATGCATTTTTTCGCCAAAAAAAAGAATAATTCTTGATTCGAATGCTTAAACTCGTACGTACGTACACGAGCTTTTTGAGAGAGGTATATATATCAATATATATATATATGTCGTGCCTCAGATCAATTCTTGCGTCAGATTAAAACCGGCCTAAGTTAGATTAGGGTTAGGGTAAGAATCTGGGAAGGATTTGGGCTTAATTTAAGTCAATCAATATCGATCAGTTAATGCGGGCCAAAAAGTTGACATCTGACGCAAGCATTAATCTGAGGCACAACATATATACTGTATACTGTATATACAATGGATGATGATCCAACAATTGCGTATTCTCGTGTGACTTAAAAATTTTTAAAAAACTAGACTACGTATTATATTTATAATACCCCGATCACTATATCAAGATCACGGGGTATTATTATTACTAATAATTTTTTTTTGAGTCTAATATCTAAGGATAATAATACAGTATATAGTAACTTTTATATTTTGCATCTTGCCAAGATAATAATCTAGCTAAATTAAAAATAAATACGTAATATAGCTCATTACCCAAATATATGGTATATATATATATAATTTATTTTACCAGGCAGATATGGGTCTGTTCAAGGTTTGATCATATGATTTACTATGTCCCGTAAGGTCATTTTCAAGGAACAGACCCCATATGATTTTGATTTTGTGCTACACCTGATCTTGAGATTTGATTGGCCAGAGAAATTTTTTATCTAAAAATCAAAAATTTAGAGATCAAAGATTTCGTTTCGCACACTATCTATTATGGAAAAATGGTTTTGTTTACCAACTATAGTTCAGACTTTACTTTTCTCAGGGTTTTGTTTGCCAACTATAGCTTAGCCTTTTATATTTCTTAGGGTTTTATCTTTCGTTAAAGTTTCCAAAGCTTCGTATTTCGCCAGGGTTTCTTCCTTTCGTCATTCGTCTTTAGCCAATTCTAGGTATTATCTCTCGTCATCACGTAAAACAGTTTCTCCTAACGAATATAAAATAGAATCCTCCGCACCGGTGGGAACGATCCTTAAGGGCATAAACTTTTTAAAGAATGGTAGCGATCCTATAGCGAAGCTTGAGGAAGAATATCCTTTTTGGCTTTGGGAATTATTGGATGAGGAAAAACAAAAAGCGCAAAGTCAAGATCCTAATTCTAGATCCTACCATCGTAGGGAACGAAAGAAAATGGTCAAGAATAATAATTTTGATAGAAGTAGGAAGAAGTGATGAAGCTGAAATGCGAATGTCTTTCTTTTTTATTTTTTTTTTGAATGTTTGAATGGTGTGTTTAGATTCGTTAATTCGTTTAAACGAATGTTATAAATAATCATGTTAACTCTATAATTCGATGTACTGTACATGGGCAAATATCTTTATTTTCAAGTTCAAAGAATATTTGTTTTCTGAATCTTGGTAATCTTTAGTTTAGAAATTTATAAAGAAATTATAAACTATGTATATACCTGTATATTATAATATAAATTTTCAATGTCCAATGTAAAATAAGTAATGAATAGTTTAATATGAATACTGTAAGCTTAGTATTCACCAGAAATTTCAACATAATTTGATAGGTTTAATTGGTAAAATTGCTATTTTATTTTAAATTATATAATTAATAATTTTTAACGCTTACCGGAGGTGAAATTCACCGGGTGGTATATACTAAATAATTAAAGTCAAGTAAAAATGTTCAGGACCCCTGAAAACCTCACGAAAACTGAAATTGGGACCTCATATCTATTCTACATTATGTTATAAAACTCCTCTTTTATTCTAAAACTGCACCCTAGCCCTAAAAATTAAGGATGGTAAATTTCATAAAATTTTATATATGAAATTTGAATTAATTTATTTGTAGCCTATCAAATATAGTTTTTTTATAAAAAAATTTTACAGCTATTAATATTAGGCTAGGGTCAGGTTATAGTTGTTAGACGAAACCTTTTTCGCATGATGACAAAGACGAAACCTCTGACGAAAGTCGAAACCCCAAATTCTTCTGACGAAAGATGAAACCTTAAACTTAAAATGACGAAACCTTACGCTCAAAAAGACGAGACCTTAGTGATCCCTCTAAAAAAAAAAAAAAAAAACATTAAAAGAATACAAATAGTAAATGTTATTTTCATTGAATCAACATTCATCATTTATTCAGAGAAGTTACATATATGCCAGCAAAAAATAAACCAGTTCATTTTTTCTGGACAACGCCAGGGTTGTTATAGACCGGTTGTCAAAAAGCCATAGTACTTACTCATGGAATAACACAAATAACGGATTAAAAACATACTGGCACAAAATAAATCTGCAATATCACAAAGTAAGCAAGTATAATACATTATAGAATACTCATTTCTAACTCTCTTTAAAAATTCAAACGCCTATTATACAATAAAACTTTTTGTAATTTTTTATTAGTTTATTTTTTTTATACGCATAATCAATGATTTTCAGCAACATTTATTTGTATATTCGTCTTTGTCACCCTTTACAGTTTCGTCAGTTTCGTCACCTTCCGTCAGTTTCGCCATTTCGTCCTTTAAGATTTTAATTGACGAAAGACGAAACTAGGTTTCGCGTTTCGTCAGCGTGAAACTTCGAAGTTTCGTCTAACAACTATAGGTCAGGTTAAGTCTATTTGTCTATTGTGAACGTTGATTTTGAATTTTCATAAAATTTACCCTTAATACTGTGGCAGTGTAAGTTGATGTTACGTT